TTCAATGAGCTGCATGACAATTACAGTACACTGTAGCTAACAGCATCCAAGTCAGCAGACACTCCCCCCCCCCCCCCCTCTTCTCACCAGACCAGCAGTGCAGACAATAGAGTCTAACAAAAAAACTATACTGTTGTTTTTCTTAACCTGTCCACAAGGTAAATGAAAGAGAGGATGAGATTTCTTACAAGTGTGTTTTTCAGCCAGGATCGTTCCTCTGCTTTTCAGCTGAAATAACCTATGCAGAGACAATTATGTAATCCCTCACCAGCTTCCCGCTTAACTATCAACGGCATTAGCTGGCAAGCATGACTAAGCTAGAGCTGTCCCAAGCACAGAGGTAAGATAGAGGGCGAGTTATCCTTTATCTATTTTCATAGGGAAACCTAAACATTAAATCCATCCAAAGTATTAGGAGCAGTGTACAGCCACCGTGTAGCACCCCAGGGAACAGGAGCTCCCAGAGGATACACATGCAAAAACAGAGAGGACACACGAACTCCACACAGAGAACTGTCCCAGTTTGAACCCAGGGAACAGTGCTGAGAACTAAGCCACCATCCTATGGGCTGTGCAGGCTGCAGATCCACCGTCACAGCACTTATTGGTTTTTAGACTTCTGTTTTAATGCCTCAAGATATGCAATTTGATCATGGCATGATGCAAGTCTTGATGCATGCTCAATCATCCAGGTAAGTAAATCCCAAAAAGTTGATTCTGTTCATCTGGACGTAGCGTTTTCAGTGCCAGAAACGTCACTCATCCAGGAAGTCACATGGAAGTGGTGGATCTGACTGAAATCCTAAGGAAAATATATGGCACTATGCAGAATGTTAGCTGCACTGATGGGTATCTAAACAGGTTGATAATTTACAAACTAGTGTATAAGACTAATTATCAACATCATAAACTCATCAGGAAAGTCAAGAATGTAATGAGAAGTAAGGTAGGTTTTGTGTTAAGGAATTTCTGACTGTTTTTCATTAACAAAAAGACAGACATGCACCAGCCCATTCACAGCAGCCAGAAAGGCATTTTATTCTTTCATTCCTTGACTATTTGGCAACCGAGGTCTGTGGTTTCTGTGTTATACTCAAGTCAAAGCAATGTTCAAGCTGGAGGAAACATATCCCCTGAACATTCAAGCTACTTGGAAAATAATCCCTGGTATTATCTGCTCATAATCTTGAATGGATTTTTGACTACAAGTACAAACACGACCCAAATCCAAACCATTCTGGACTTACAAACTGGAGGGAAAAAAACAAAAAGCAAAAAAAACAAGATCAAGCCAGTGAGGGCAGCTCTCCCTAAACTTACACAGAATTTATCTTGCAACTAAATTGGTTTGCTTCACAACTGGCTCCTAGCGTTGGCGTTTGTGGCTTTCAGTGTGTCAGATTTGACACAGCTCTCTTTCAGTAGCTGTGGGCTGTAGCTAACCACCCACACAACCCACTGGAGACCAAGCAGATTCCCTTCACCAGCTTGACAACACAGATCATTCTCATCATTGTCCCCTCGAGCACCGAGCAGACATTTATTGCCTGAAGCATGTGACTGGTCAAAATATGACTAATACTATAGTGAGCAAGTCTATAAATGCAGTTCCTTTACTGTAAAAATGAGCTGAGGCTTATAGAAAACTACTGAAGCTACTAGAATATAGTGCAAACCACCAACGCCTACAGTTTCCAGAGGGTTAGCACCACATCACTTTGGATGACATGCACAATTGAAGCACTAGAAGCCAGCATTTTATGCGCCCGGAGATGTTGTCATATTTCTGCATCTTCGCACCAGTGACCAACGCGGGAGCCGCCACGCAACGTCAATCACAAACTGACAGGTCCGCGCTGATGGCCAAAGGGGCACAAAGCAGCCTTCCTCTGGTCCAAGCCCCGAGATTTGTGCGTTTTTGACTTGTTTACCAAGATGGGCGTCCAGAAGAGGAGAAATCTAAAAGATTTACGCATATAAATCAAATCAACCGCTCAAACAAAGAAATTCCTTCACGCGCTAAAATGTGAGTAATTCAGACCTTTGCAGCAGTTTATGATTATAATTTACGCCAGCTCCTAAACAGCACCCGCAGACTGTGTCCCTTTTGTACAGTCCCAGCTTTACAGCCGAGGAATCTCTGAGGAAAAAGAAAAGAGCCAGTGTCATGCGGTCAGAAGGCATTTTAGTCAGACAAAAATTTGTGTCAGCACTTTCTGCAAGGGAGCGAGAGGCCAGCGTTCAGAGCTGTTAGCCTCTTTCTCAGAGGAGAGCCAGGGTTTAATGGGACTACTCTTCCACTCCATTTGCCTGCTCACATCTTGCAGGCCACAGCTGCATACATGTGAGCCAGTGACTGTCGCTCTACATACCTCTCTGCAGCCTGGGAGCTCCTGAACCCACTTTAACAGCTGACAGAAGTCATTTGTCTTCAGGCGCACACTTGAACATCGAAACGGACTACGGACAAAACGCACGTGGATGAGACAACACTTCGTCCTGGTAATAAGACTGCAGAGGTCGCTGACAAATTACGCATTTTCGTAACTCCTTACCGGCCCTCGAAATTATCGCACCACATCCTCATGCTGCTGTGTGGGTTATAGTTTTTCTGACTGTGACAACACCAGAAGGTCTTGCTCTGACTTTGGATCCATTTCAGACCCAAACAACAATTTCATGGCTGGCTGGTCTCAAAGTAATTACATATGGCCTCAAGCCGGAGCATCGATCAGTGCCCGGGACACTTCTGAAAAATAAGACTATTTTTGACAGACAGCTTCTTCAAGAGAAGACAGCACCTCTACCGTATGGACTATGGAAATCCACAGTGAAAAAGAAGCAGGCTCTATGTTTCATGCATTTATTTCCTGTTGACGGAGTTTCCCCGAGTTAACTCACATTCCCAACTCCCGTCTCCATGTTCAACTACAAAATCTTTAAATAATACAAATTTGAAAGAAACAATTTGCTAGAATTAGCATCCCGTATATAGCAGCTTGAAATATAGTTCCACTTAAACAAGCAAGCTGATAACTCCCAGTTGTAGAGTATTTAAAAGTAGAATGGGAGGGAGAGCCTTCGGTTTTCAGGCCCCTCTTCTGTTGAACCAGCTTCCAGTTTGGATTCGGGAGACAGACACTATCTCTACTTTTAAGATTAGGCTTAAAACTTTCCTTTTTGCTAAAGCATATAGTTAGGGCTGGACCAGGTGACCCTGAATCCTCCCTTAGTTATGCTGCAATAGACGTAGGCTGCCGGGGGATTCCCATGATGCATTGAGTTTTTCCTTTCCAGTCACCTTTCTCACTCACTATGTATTAATAGACCTCTCTGCATTGAATCATACTTGTTATTAACCTCTGTCTCTCTTCCACAGCATGTCTTTTATCCTGTCTTCCTTCTCTCACCCCAACCGGTCGCAGCAGATAGCCGCCCCTCCCTGAGCCTGGTTCTGCCGGAGGTTTCTTCCTGTTAAAAGGGAGTTTTTCCTTCCCACTGTCGCCAAAGTGCTTGCTCATAGGGGGTCATATGATTGTTGGGTTTTTCTCTGTATCTATGAAGCGCCTTGAGGCGACTTTTGTTGTGATTTGGCGCTATATAAATAAAATTGAATTGAATAGCCCTCTAAACCAAGGGTGTCAAACAAAGGTCTACAATCTGGCCCATAGGACAGTTTGGGAAAATGTGAAGGAGGGCATACATTTTGAACTTTTAATAATTTATTTACTTAGTAGTTTTACAGCTTTTCCTCCTGATAAAGACCTCCCCCATGGCAATACCACAACAGAGTAAACAAATGGGGAAAACAAATTCCTGTTTTTTGAGGCCACAGTCCTTTTTTATTAAGAAGCATGCTCTGTATACTAACAAAAGCTTTCGGCTTTATAATTACAGGACAGTTTTTGTTCTCATTTTGTGGCCTACTTACACATTGCAAGCTTAACAACATATCTACTGTTCTGTGAGTGTTCCTATACCTCAGGACTTTTCTGTGGTGCATCTGTAGGTGTAAAAAGGTCCCAGCTACACACCGGTTCCTGTGCCGTGAAACTTAAGAAGACTCACCATGAGCAGACAACAAATCCGGCTTTGAGGGCAGCGAGGCGCTACATTTCGCTGGGCTGAACCACAGTCCCAAACCCTCTCCAGAGGGGACACCCAGCAGCTCTCTACAAAGGCAATAACAGTGAAATAAAACACTTTAAGGTGAGCAATGAACTGAAAGGGCCTTGTATTGACACACAAGAGAAACAGCAGACACTATTTGACATCCGACTCAGTGGAGTGGCAAGTCCACAGAGTGAACAGCCTGACCTGTCACTGTTCACTCTGCTGTGGATCTTTTTCCAACAGAGAACACAAACAGCTTTCGGGGCTACAAGGGCTGATTGTTAGGGCGGACTGGGACAGCAGACAGTTGTCATATTCCACCGTGTGTGGACTATGACATAAAGTACTGCTTTGAAAGTTGTGATGTAGAGGCTCTAAGTAGTCTGACCGAAAGTCTGATTATGTCATTAGATGTTGAGTTAAGGACGGGGGAGAGAGGGACCGAAATATCTGTGTGGGTGATGTTAGCAGCCATGTGATTAACACGAAAATGAGTGGGAACCGGAGAGATGTAAATGTGAACGGCTATTGTTTGGCTGCTCCCAGTGTCGAGCATTTAAATTAACATCTTTAATACACACAGGCCACCCAGTGGTAACATTACATTACATCACATACTGCGTCCCCCTTTATGCTCATAAGTAATCTTCGGCAGCATTTATTAGCTACAGAGGACCCACTGAGCTCATTCCAACTTCATATTTTTATTTTACACTCTACAAAAGTATCCCTGCATGATTCACAGTTTAAAATAATACTTATGCATCTCTAACGGGGACTTGGTGCAGCCTCTCAAAACCCCCCCCCAACCCTTTAACCCGAGACAGCATGAAAAAGGTGGACCACATTTGGGAGTGTCAAGCATAGAGTAGACATGAGAGAGAAACTGAGGACAAAACATTCATAATGCCTTGGATAATCATTTTAAACACTCAGCGTAACCAAATTTTGCAAATGTTAACTTTTTCTTCCCTTAACATGACCTAAAATGAGCATCCAGAGGTGTTTTTGCAACCCCAGGTATTTCCCCCTAGTGGCCATTAAAAAACAAACAAAAAAACAAAAACAACAAAAAACTGACCACCTGGCAACCACCTGGCAACCGCCTAACAACCGTCTGTCGCTAGGGAAAAATGAGTACTCCCCAACCAGTTGCGATCAGTTGCTGAATGCTACTGTGATATCATCTACCCAGCTTCCAGCAACGCAGGCCTAAAGACCGGTTTAATGACCCCTCTGTGAGCACCAGTTGCTATGGGAAAAGCTGTATTCCCTGAGCAGCTGGTGAGTGGTTACAAGAGGTTGTTTGCTGTTCGTAAACGAAACTGGTTACAAAGAGATATATGTTGCCGCGCACGTAAACCTCACAATTACTTTGGTTGCTAAGCAGATTGACACAGTGACCTATAGTTTGCATGGAACTACACTTGTCTGTAAACACCAACTACACCCTATGAGGTAGTGAAACTGTTTAAGTTATGCCTTACTGCTACACCTTTACTTTGAAGGTGAACTTTCTCCATTTCCTGCTTTGTGTCGCACATTTTTTTAAAGTTTCTCTACTGTTTGGTGATTGGTTAATGAGTGTTTGCGAACACTAGTGTCATCCATGCACCATGGGTGACCAAAGAAAGGAGGTTTTTGGAACTCCCCTGTATTTTTTCACCAATTTCACTTACACCAACCTCTAGGAAACTCTTAAAGCTGGCTGGAAAATACACGTTTTCTGTGTGCCAGAGATGCCTAGAGTTGAAATTGATGCCATATGAAGCCAAGAGTATAAAAAACCTGTCAGAAACCAAACATTTAGAGCAGCTTGAAGCCTATGATATTGGCTTACAGGGCTTAGTTGTGCATATCCTGACCTCATTAGAAACACTGATCATGATTAATCTGAGCACCCACCATTACATCAGTATATATATATATCTATATATATATATATATATATATATCTATATATATATCTATATATATATATATATATCATAATAATCTGACAATACTATAATATTGGCCATATTATATTTACATTACCACAGTGAGATGATTTTAGTCTCATAAACAACATTAGCTAATTGTTATTTACTAACTACTCCTGAAATAACTGTTCAGTACAGAAATGAAGCCCAACAATCATGTTTTACAGTCCTGTGGTCTCAGCCTCAGATACTCAACTAATCAAAGTGATGTCATGACAAAAATGAATGACCAACAAAACATTTTTTCTCCTTCATTTATGTCAAACA